AGTGTGTGAAAATGTCGATCATGTAGTTCATCGCTGCGGCTAGGCATGTGCTTTTCATTCACTTGCTCTATCACTCCCTCACTCCTCCCCTCATATTTAAACAAGAAATAATAATAATAATGTTGAATGGATGAACCAGAATCAAACGTTGCTCTTAACCTTATCTACCCTCTCCGACACTTCTTACCGTGAGGTTGTGTGTTCCTTCTTGAGAGTCCTCTCATTGTGAGGTGTCGAGTGCGCTCAACCTTGAGAGCCGAAAATGTTCACGTGGAGCATCTAGGAGAAGTATCCCTCTTCTACTGCAGGTATTACATGAAGTCCTCGACTTCGCAACTTCGGAAGAAAGTGTAAGCGCTTCGCAAAAGTAAAAAAGAAAGTAAAACTTAAAACTGAAACTTTATTGAAGCAGATTAATGTCTTTCTCTTAACTTTTGCAATGTTGTGGAGGACCGGGCTCGTCCAACCACCCACCACTCCGATTTTCCCTCTACTCTCAACGTCATCTTACCATGGGGGCAGAACGGTGTAGAAGATGGCATAACACTCGGTTGGCTTCCGCACTCGCTAAAGGACTGACCCTTTGGCGCGTGTGTCAATGAACACTCAAGCGTCGAATGCGATCCCATGATTCAAAATAGACCATATGTTTTATGGGCACTACGTAGTACTCCATCATCGCAACAATTCGTGTATTCATTCATGGCTAAGTCAATATGACGAACTAATCGGGCATATATCGGAAAAATATCAAGATCGTAGTTGGGATCTTACTTTGAAGATCATAATTACGAAAACGACACTGATATTCAAATGGTGGTTAACATATTGTCTAATAGTTAATTAGATAAGAAAATATAGAAAGAAAATATATGGTTCCGATTTGCCACTACGCAGGCTGACACAACTTTGTACGGTGCTGATCTGTCACTTGGCGGTTTGGTGCAACGTGATATGTTCCTGATTTGTCCCTTGGCAGTCTGGCAGGCCACCCTCTCCGGAATCGAACCCTAATTCTGCGTCACCCGTTACCACCATGGTAGACCTTTATCCTACCATCGAAAGTTGATAGGGAAAACAATTGAATGAAACACCGATGACTGAAAGCCCATGCAATTCAACAAGTCAACATGATTCGTCGTAAGAAAGCGCAAGCCGGACGATTGCATCTAGTGTGGGCGGGTCCTTTGTGCGCGCCGTTGTTCGGAGAGTGTATCAAACCATTATATAATGTGCTATCCAAATAAAACTAAGACTTACAAAGGTATAAAAAGTCAACTATACCTTTTAAAACCGATACATACTTTTACATAACCAAACAGTTTGCTAAAAAGAAAAAGTTGTGCGCCAAGAACATGAAGAACGTGGTAGGGGAGAAAGCGGGAAAGTGATATCTCGCTCGATTCCTGTCGAAATTTCGGGGATGTTCAATTATTGGCCTGTGCTCAAATGTTGGGTTCATTGGTGGATCAAATGTAAGTCTTTTCGTACTTGTTCCATGCCACAGGGGGTGTCGTCATCTGTTTGACATTTTCCTTCTCTCTTGTCTCCTTACTATGGTTTCCTTTGCTCTTCGGGTTGTACCTCAATTTGATGGAACCCCGACTTAAAACCAATCTTTGAAAAATACTTACAGCCTTGCAACAGGTCTAGCAAATCATCAATCATAGGCAACAGTTCGACATTATTGTTGTGTTTCACCAAATCAGCAAAATAAGATTGGATCTTATCCTAAAACATGGAAGTATCCACTGCCATAATATGGAACTATACACTGCCAAAGACCGGAGATGTGGCAATGTATATTTCCATGTTCTAACGACAAATTTATTCCCAATGTCTGTAATAACCTACCTGTGTCACCGTACATTATGTAAGTGCTCTTCGGTGTCTCTGCGGAGATGTGCAGAGTATGGAACTCATAACCTCATACCATAATGCGCATTGACAACCCGTGCTCAAACCACTGAGCCACGGGCCAAAGGGAGATTGGACCTGCAAACTAAAGGACTTGCTCTTAAAGAGTTGGAGTGGAAGCAGCAAATATGTTGAGAGCAAGTCCTATCCCTTCCGACGTGGAAGGGGAAAGTTGAGTAGATGTAGTTTGTTAAACACCTCAGGTCTTCGACAACAGGTTTGCCCATGCTTCACATTCCTCCTCCATACGACTTGAACATTTGCACAACTTTTCTGATTTGATATCGTAGACCCAATCATTGCGCTGGACATCACCGGTATTTCGAAACAACACTTACTTGAATTTTTGGTGGTTGAAGATAATCCGGTTACGTTGTAGATGGCGACACGTGATCTGAGTCGCTAGGCACAAAAGTTGCTTGGCCTTTTCTCTGTTTGTTTTGTCCTTTTTTTTTTTTTCCCGGTCATTCCCCTTATCCCTTTGTGTGGAAGGGACTCGCTCACAATTTTACGTATTCAAAGTTTTGCGAGGAATGAGCTCTCACAGGGTTCTTATTAGACATGCACATGTTCAAAGGAGAGGCCCTCGGCAAGCTAGCTTTGGACCAACTTGGTCCATAGGTAAGTAGCCCGTCAAACCATCAATTGCAATCTCCATCCCGTCCAAACTGTCTGTCCTTGTGGGCGGTGGATCCACGTTTGTGTCTAGCTTTGGACCAGCTTGGTTCATAGGCATGTGGCCGCATTTCACAACTAGACGCGTCTGCTTTGGATCAAATCCATCTGAAATCGTAATGTCCCTTTATCTCAATTTTTTCATCAACAATTGACTTGGACCTCTTGTCGTCTTAAAATCTGATTTCTCTCTGAAATTTTTCCACCCTGTTGTTTCTCAGCTCGCAGACCACCATCGGTAAGCACATCTCCTTCCTCCCTTTCTCCTTCCCTCCGCTTTCATTTCCGCCTTCGGATTTTTATTTTTTTTTCTACGTTCGGCCGAACAGTCGAATGCGTCGAGAGGGGGTCCCAAACGTTCGTGCGTTCACGCGCGGGAAGCCTCAGGGTTCTCTTTCCTTCTTGACGGCTCGCCCACCCTGGATTCGGATCAACCGGAGATAGGGTGCAGCGCCCAACCCCCTCCGACGACCCTTGAAAATCTGGAGCTGCGGGTACCTCTCACGCGCGACCGTACTCATAACCGCATTAGGTCTCCTAGATGAGCAGCCACTGGTAAAAGGAAGAGTGTAGGTAAGGGAAGTCGACAATATGAAAACGTGCTTCCTTTGGCAATAACCCCAATCGTGATCAAGGAACCGGCTTGCAAAATGTAAGGAAGCCGATCTAACCGTGAAGCTGAAGATGGCAAGGATGTCGGACATGCTCACACTCAAACCTCTCACAACAGATCGTGGTTGGCGAGTCCACATGATTGCGGCCTCTGACAGAAACGTGTAAAGGTGCTTGGCTATAGTGGATGAGTGAAGGAGGTGGAGTTGGAAGAAGGTGTGAAGGTGCTTGGCTATGGTGGATGGGTGAAGGAGGTGGAGGTGGAAGAAGGTGTGAAGGTGCTTGTTTATGGTGGATGGGTGGAGGATGTGGAGGTAGAAGAAAGTGTGACGGTACGTGGCTATGAATGGGGGTCCACTTCCATGCATGCAGGTATGTAGGGCGATTGAGGGAAGAGTCAATTTTATTATCCCAAGGCCCAAGGAATGTGCAGCCCCACCTGGTACTTGCTGACTAGACAACCTGCGTCTTTTTTTTAATCTATTTCTGATTCTAGAAAAACAAGAAAAATCATTCTCAAATAATCAAATCAATACAAATAGACAAAGAATTGGACTGAGACCTTAATCTCACACTGCTGACTAGGCTAGGACTACACTCTTCCTTGCTGACTCATCGTGCCCCCAGAGAACTTGCACACGGCCCACTGCAGAGGTTGCCTCTCGAAACTACAATTCAGGGAGCAACAAAGCCCTCAAGTTGTCAGTCTGGGCTATGGAAGCCTACAGAGAGCAACAAAGCCCTCGAGTTTTCAGTATGGGCTATGGAAACCTATCGAGACGACGAGGTCATGTCTGAGATCATTCCCAAACTGGAAGCTAAAGACAAGGCTACTTCCGATGAGTTTGTGGTGGATGACGAAGGTTGGGAATAAACGATCAAGAGTTTCTCTTGTTTCTCAAGTTGCCTCGCGCCATGTATTGGTGGTTCAGAAGGGTAAGTCAATATTGATATGCAATACATGTTCCATTAGGTCCCACAAAGCGTCGAGACGCTGCGGGCGTCGACGATTGCGCTGTTGATGCATGAAAGCGTCCGTCTGCTGCTGAAGAATGACCTCAAAGGGAGCGGGCTAGTCCTCAACAAACTCCAGAACAGGGAAAAGTTTGTCAGTCGGCTGAGTAGGAGCAGCTGTCTCAGCACGACGAGCACGATTCTCTCTTGCTCTCTCTCCCCCCGTCCTTCCCTCTCTCTCTCTCTCTCTCTCTTTCTCTCTCTCTCTCTCCCCGTCCTTCCCTCCATCTCACTCTCTTTCGTTCTCCTACCCTCTCTCTCTTTCTCTCCTTGTCCTTCCCTCCATCTCTCTCTCTCTCTCGCTCTCAACGATGTTGTGCACGCAAAGACAAAGGGGAAAAGGGGGACGAGGAGGTGGAAAATGAGGAGGAGGACGAGCAGGAAGAGGAGGGGGAGGAAGACGAGCAGGAGGAGGAGGAGGAGAAAGAGGAGGAGGAGGAGAACGACGAGGAAGAGGAGGAGGAAGAAGAGGAGGAGGAGGAGGAAGAAGAGAAGGACGACGAGGAGGGAGAGGAGGACGACAACAAAGAAGAGGAGAAAGAGGGGGACAACGACGAGAAGGAGGAGGACGAAGAAGAGGCAAAGGAGGAGGAGAGTAGGAGGGAGGACAACAAAGGGGGGKTGGGGGGGGGGGAGGAAGGGAGGCGTCGAGTCAAGGAAATGAGAGGCAGATTGTCTCGCCTCAACCCCCCCTCACCCGCTGCCTAGCCCCCTAACCCACTTTTTCTTTTCCCCCCCTAAATCAATCAATTAATCAATAAAACAAACAAACAAAATCTTTATCCAATCGAATTTGATTGATCTCATTTCGAAATGTGAGGGGGTAAACTATAATGGATATTCAATGCGTTTTTCGCAAAAAAACTCCCATATTTGACCCTGTGGCAGTCCTACATGAGCTCAAAAAAAAAAAAAAAAAAAAAAAAATCATTTTTTCCCGGGCATTTTCCGGTTTATCCGAAATTCCGGATAAACCAGATGCCGGATAAAGCGGCCGGATATTCCGGTCATTTAATCCAGCTGAAAATGATAAACAACTTATGTTTAAATGTACTAACTATGTCTGAGCTATCATGTTTTTTGTTTTTTGTTTTTTGTAGAGACCAAGGACCAGAACCGCGGTGATTGCTAGCAGCGGCAGCCAATGGTGATAGGCCACCTACCCCTCCCATCCCCACGTTAATACTCCCAGCGCACCAACTATCCCTACTATCCTACCTCAATGTGACCAGCACTCACGACCATCATCCTACCAGTATCGAGGGCAGCTTGGACCAGACAGCAGCGACAAGCACGAAGGCTGGGCCAACCGCCCAGCCCTAGTGGAAATGGAGGCGGACAAACCTTGCCGTACGGTAACATCGGACGCACGGCTCATGCAATCTTCTACAAGCCCAATTCGGAGTCTACCCAGGAGTAGTACCTACGCAAGGCAAGTCGGCGCCCACAAACACATCCTACCGTCCTTCCCCTAACTTACCCAAGGCTAGGTGGATCTCAGACTAGCCGGAGCGACTTATATCCCTACCCTACACTAGAGCTAAGACATGTGTGAGTAGACGTCGTCATATACCTGATAGACCCCCCAAGTCCGGTATCGTAGTTGTGTATATGTGTGCCCAGAGGCTATGTATGTTTTGTATGAGCCCATAGGCTGTGTGTATATAAGTTCACGAGCCATGTTTGTGCCTGCCCGAAGGCTACGTGTGCTCTGTATAACTGGATAGCGAGATTTATGTGCCCAAAGGCCAGCTAATATGTGCAGTACTATGTAGAGGGATTGAAGAGATGACAGGCCAAACTGGACAAGACCCCCCCCAAAGTCTCAAGCCAGACTCGAACCTATGATGTATGACATGTGACCTCAAGAGTCTACCATTTGAGCAACAATCGCAAACGGCACCTGTGTGTGATATGCCAGACTGGAGAGATCAACAGAACAACCACAAGCAACAGCGACAAGAAACCCACGCAGTCTGAAGACCCGGCATATAACACCGCGGACAACCCTTGGGTGGTGCCATATGAGCAACAATTGCAAACGGCACCTGTGTGTGATATGCCAGACTGGAGAGATCAACAGAACAACCACAAGCAACAGTGACAAGAAACCCATGCAGTATGAAGACCCGGCACACAACACAGTGTCTGTAATAGCTTACCATGTGTCAGCCCAAGGGGGTGTGTGTCCAGCCGCGCGGCATTCTAACGCCCTGCCGACGTCCATGCACAAGGCTGCAGAGTTTTGAACACGCAACCTCATACCACAACGCGCATTTCCAACCGGTGCTCTAACCACTGAGCTACATCAACTGGACATGCCTGAGCTATCCTAAGATTATGGGTCTGCTCCTCTGTGCGGGGATCAGACCCAAACTCCTTACACCTGATGCGGGCTGGAAAGTGAACGGACATCAACATTTCCACAACCAGCCAGGAAGAACAAACCACTTCTCAGTCAGCGAACCCAAAGTATGCCACACTGGGTCACAGGGAATACATGGATGCGATGGGGAATCGAACCCACGACCTCCTGTGTACCACTTTACGTGCTCAACCACTGAGCTAGGCCGCTTCAAGTTGGCCTAAATAGATTCATTTTTTTCTGCTCGTTTTCCTTTTTTTATGGCAAGTAATCCCATTTATTTCTCTGTCTAATCTCATCACCTGGGCTTCACAGGCTTCTAGGGTGGCCTTTGCAGCCCTCAAGGGAAGCCCACCTGCTATATCCCCAAAGCGTGAGAGAGGCAAGCTGCATCAGCCCCACGGGCAGCCCTAACAGCACTAGGTGGACGACACCGGCGGGAGGGTAGTGCTAGTGCAAAGCGTACGTTGCCATTCGCTGCACCTCCCGTCTCTCCCTCCTCCCCCTACAAACAAAGCAGGCCGGGGTAATGCCAATGTTTGGTGAAGGGGGGGGATTAGGCTATTCCTAGTGGGTGCCACTGAGTGGGCACCAAGTGTGTCCAGCCAGGTACTTGAGGGAACGGGTGGTCAATCATTCAACACATGACTGACAATCCCCTGATCACAGACTAATCTAATTTAATTAGATTAGAGACATTGTACAAGCGCTTTGTTGCTTGCCTCTCTACTCCACTTGTGAAGCATCCCGCGACCTCTTACGGGCCCATCAACAAACGAGAACATACAATACAAAATGAAAAAACGAATGGTTATTTCAGTAGACCATGCGAGCTTCCTCACGAATTCCCTTCCGAAACATGTACCTGAGAAGGATGCAGGTATGAACTCCCAGATGCACCTTAAAAGGAACGGGTGGGGACCCAGGAGACAGTCGAGATACACGTGGGAACTGAACTAACTCCAACAAAGAAAGGAATAGCTGGCAACAGGGAAAAACAGTGGGAGGAGGAAACATATCCAAAAGCAGAAAAATGAAATCAAGTTTAGTAATAACCACCTTCAAAAATCAAGTTTAGTTAAAATAACCACCCTCAGAAACCGTGGCTGGGCAGGACAGCACGCGGACCCCTGCCATCTATGGGGTCGAGGAGGATGAAAACCACCAACCCGCGCTCGCTCTAAAGGGCGAGCCCCTATTTGTGGCTGCAAGTGGGTCTTCTGTCTGCATGCCAATTTTTGGCAACCATTTCCCCCGCAGTGCTGGTGGGGCTTCCTTGGTTTCAGCCTGACCTCCTAGGCGACGAGTTCACCTACAAGCTCCTATGTTGCTGTTTGAACGCTGAAAACGTGCATTCCCGTTTAAATGGCCCTGTTCAAACCGCCACGTGCCGCATTCAAACGCGTTTAAACATGCCACGTGACGATAGATGGGAGAAATCTGAACGCGCGCCCGCCGCCAGCGTGCGTGCGTCGAGCTTCACCTGGGGGGGCGAGGCGATTAGGAAAAAAAAGAGAAAAAAAGTCCCCCCCGGACACACACACACACACACACATACAAACACCTTTGTTTTCCATTTTCGTTTTCCTTTCTTTTTGTTTATCTTTTTTTTTCTTTCATTTTTTATTTTTTTGGGGGTCTGGGTGGTCCCCACACCCCTTCATGACCACCCTCGACCCCTCCCCTGGTGCTAATCAATCAAGCAGACAATCAATCAATCAGTCAATCAAGCAATCATCACACATCACGGCTGCACACATCCCAGCTGCACACACACACACACAACGCGCCATGCGCACACACGTGCCTCTCTCTCTCTCTCTCACACACACACACACAACATGCCATGCGCACACACATGCCTCTCTCTCTCTCTCTCTCTCTCTCTCTCTCTCTCTCTCTCTCTCTCTGTGTATGTGTAAACGCCCGCTGCCAC